TCTTCTTCTTCTTCTTCTTCTTCTTCTTCTTCTTCTTCTTCTTCTTCCTTCTTCCTTCTTCCTTCTTCCTTCTTCCTTCTTCTCTAAGTCAACCTTTCACTCATCTTGAATGTTCAAATGCAGACTCAGGAAACAAACCCCACTTTTACGGTGGTACTGCTGGCGATGTAAATAAGGAAGTGTAAGCTAAAGTCAATAATGCACAGCTTAGCAAGAACTGCCAAATGTCAGAGCTCGCCAGTATTGCTAGGCTGGTCAACGGGCAGGGCAAAGGGTGAACAAGAGAGGGGAATTTTATAGACTGTGTTGAATATTTCTTGTCTCATTCAAATACTAGAATAGCATTAAGCTTGCTAATTACATTAAAGCAATTACTGAGACGGTGGGAAATCTCACACAAGAAGACAACGAAGATTCAGTCTTAGGATATCGTAGTTTATGAAACAATTACTCTGAATGTACAGGATATATTTGGCTAGAGGATATATTTGCCTATCCTTTTTCTAGCCTGAAAGATGCTACTTCTTCCCTTGTACACATATTTAATAGAAACTATATTGAGCTATAGGCAAACAGGGTTATGTATACATTCCCTGCCCACGTTCCTGGATCAGAAAGTTTCAAATCTCAACAGCCATTGAGCGGGAATATTGTACAATAATGATAGCCATTAAGGGCGGTTTCAACTAAGTTTCCAGCCTTTGTCCTTTTGTATAGGTAGTCCTCAACTTTTTGATCACAATTTGAGTCCAAAATTGGACTCAAGTAAGTAAGACATTTTTTAAGGAAATTTTGCCCCATTCTAACACCTTTCTTGCCGCAATAATTAAGTGAATCACTGCAGTTGTTAAGTTAATAACATGGTTGTTAAGTGAATCTGACTTTGTCAGATCCACAAAAGGTGATCATGTGACTCCAAGACACTGCTGCTGTCATAAAAATGAATCAGTTGCTAAGCATCCAAATTTGGATGCTGCAATGTTCTTAAGTGTGAAAAACGGTCATAAGTCGGCACTTTTTTCGGTGCCATTGTAACTTCAGTCACTACACGAACAGTTAAGTTGAGGACTGCTTGTAACTTAAGAGTCACATTTTAAGGTTTCTGACATCCAACTGGCCATTTACATTCTATGAACCGTGACTTTTTAAAAAGTATATTCACCGCAAGATGTTTCACTCCAGCCTACATTTAACAGTTTTACATAATCTTTTTTTTTTTTTGTGCGTTATGTCAGTTCAAATATTTTACCCGAAATAGCTGGTCCTTTTTCGGAACAAGATGTATAGCGTTTTGTATATTTTCTAAAAAAAAATCCTGATGAGGGAATGATATATTTATTTATTGCAAAGGCACTAAAAGGGTATTATAATGGAAGAGAGCAAAGATGTTACAAGGGGGGAGGTTGCCAAAAAAATAAAAAAATGGGAAACACTCTCTTTGCAGTTGAAGTTTTTTAATGGCCGCAGATGTGGCATCCTGTCTCTTGGCAGAACTCCTTTTTTTTTTTAGTACGATAAACCTCTTGTTTCCAAATGTTTTCAATTGCAACTTTAACATTTTGTGGTTTGGAATACACAATTTATTGAAATAAAATGTCAGTGCAATTTGTCAATTGTTTATCTCTGTTTGGTGACTTTATTATGCTAAACTACTAAGACACCTTTCATCCAAAGCACCTGAGGGCAGGACAAGAAGCAATGGGTGGAAACTAATCAAGGAGAGAAGCAACTTGGAACTGGGGAGACATTTCCTGGCAGTGGGAACAATTAACCAGTGGAACAACTTGCCTCCAGAAGATGTGAATGCTCCAACACTGGAAGTTTTTTTAAAAAAACTGTTGGATAACCATTTGTCTGAAGTGGTGTAGTAGGGTCTCCTGCCTGTGCAAGGGGTTAGACTAGACGATCTCCAAGGTGCCTTCCAACTCTGTCATTCTATGCTACTCCATTCTCTTAAGAGTAAAAAAAGATGTGCTTGCCTTTTGCGCTTGATCTATGTATATAACACATCCCTTTAAAAACTTTTTTTTAAACCCTAAACATGCCAGAGCAAAAGTACCAACAGCATTTCTCACCATTTGGGTAAAGGGCATGTTTAAAAGGCCACCCAGAGTCATAGGGAAAATGAGCAGCATAAAATTGAATAAAGCAAATAAAATAATAAAAAGCTGCATTTTGGGACCTTCTTCCAAGCAGTTGATGAAAATATGGAGTACAACCACAACCTTCACCCTGTTCTATGTAAACTGCAGTTCTATTCACTGTTTACTTAGATGTGACTCACTTCTGCATTCCAATTCCCAAACAGTTAAAATTCCCTTTGGTATCTTAAAACAATCTACATAAGCAAAATCTTCCCCGGTCTTCCTGGTCTGTGCCCCTAATGAAAAAAGTATTTTGGAAAACAAAACAGCTAAAAAGTTGCTGAGAAGCAGCTCCTATTTCCCAACAATGACGTTCCGTAAATCCTAGCTGTGGCCGGGTTTGCACAACAGGCATTGCTAGAATATGGTACTATCCTGGTTTGTATGTCACCGTCTTATGCAAGCCTGAACAACTGGGTTAACTCAGTGAACTTGATTTAAGTCAACCGTAGGCAGACAAGCTGGGCCACCAGAAGCTAATATAGCAATCTGCTATCTTATGCTTGCTCTCCCTCTAGTGGAGTTTTTCAGTCTAAGCTGGAAAACATCATTTTTGAGCTCTCTTCCTTTTTTTCTTCAAAAGGCTGTTTTTTCCTTGAGGAAAAAGAAAACATTTCGCTTCCCATTCAAGAAGATTCATCAGTTCTGACAGCAGGGGGGGATGAAGCATAAAATGAATATGCATTAAACAAGTTATTCATAGCTCTTAATAGTGACCACAGAATCTTTGATCCTGGAAGCTATCTGTTTATTAGTACTAACTGTAAGGTACTAACAAAGGCCGATGCTCTTATATATTTTGTAATATAGAAAATAAAGTGTACAGGTAGTCTTAAAGTTAAACTGCCTTTTGTTTAATCACCCTTCGTAGTTTCAATGGTGATGAAAAAGTAACTTTACATTCTGACTTCATTTTAAATTGTATTTTATTCCAATCAAATGAGATTGGAATAAAAAAACCAAGAGAGCCCAGTTGCCTTTTGGAAATTTCAGGATGTTTGCACATCTATTTCAAAAAGTCTGTCAGCACAGCTCTTTATCTATTTGTTAATGTGTTGAAGCTGTTTTTTCCGCTACTTTACAGATGGTTCTGCCATCACCCCATTTTCCCCCCCTCTTGGTTGACAAAAGTCTTGTACTGTGTCATGCCCGTTGGAATCTGACTCTGAGGGGGAGGTTGAGCAGCTGACAGGGAGTGGGAGTGTGGCTCTGGTGGCTGTGGAAGAAACTGGGGAAGGGCACAGTCCAGCTGGGCAGAGCAGCGGGGAGGGAGAGCAAGGTAGAGGGAATTCAGAGGAAAATCAAGGCCCACCTCCTCTTCATCCTAGGCACGCAGGGAGGAGCGGACAAGGGAGCAACATGAGTTGCATGGCTTACAGGGGAGGAAAGGGCCCTGATTCCCTTCATTAGCTGCAGCTGGGAAAATAGTGTTTAAAAAGGCAAGCTATGCACAGCAAAGTTGCGGGAAGCAACCGTGAGTTATCTTTGTTTGTCAAAGCTTATTTGGGTTCCTGGCATCTTCCTAATTGTGTGTGTTTTGTTGGCCTTTGAAGTCTGTAATTCTTTATCCTGCCCTGTCCAGTTAATTGCTGCAGCATGGTTTGTGTGTATTTTTATTTACAGTTTATATGTACTTTGTTTTCGGACTGAATTTCCTCCACTTATGCCTCCACACACACACTTCACCCCTCGAGTTCTTGGGAGAGTTTTTTCTCCAGCTGAGGGTAACTGGACATTGGGGGCAAAGTTGGAGGTATTAAAAGGATTTTTCTTACTTATGTGATTGTGTTGCCTTTGTACCATGCCCCAGATCATCACATAATGGAAGTGATAATTTGGAATCTCATTTCACAAATAACTACAAAATAGCTGACAATAAATTTATCCATCATGCAAATAAGCCATTAGGCATGTTTCTAATCTTGCCTATGGCAACTCATTCAAGGTCCCCCCCCCCCCAAAAAAAAGCCCAAGTATTTTGCTTTTCTTTAAACACCACCATTTCATCTACAGGAGAAATCTTTTAACCTGCTGGCAAAAAAATGCACCTACTTGCCCTTGCAAGCTGAATGCCAGAAAAACTTTCAAAACAAAATCAAGAAGGCGGGAAAATGGAAGGAAGAAGCAGATAAATTTAACATCAAGGATAAGCAGTAAATTATCGCTCCAATCGCCCTCTAAAGTTCAAAGCAGCAAGCATGTAAAATGTCAATTTATTAAAATAGGCCTAGCGTCTGGAAGAGATTTTGCACATGACATTAGCCAGACTTCAAAACAAGCACACTTCCTTTGTTGTTTGGCGTACAGACAGCACCACCATGTGGATGGTCTGGGCTGACATCAGGTATCACAGTAAGAGAAGGAAAGACGGATAAGGAATTCCAAACAGCTATCTCTTCTGAAAAAATTATAGAAATTTATTGAAGTTTTGGAGGGAGCATTCACACAGACAGCAACTTGTCCTTGGTTACCTCTTTTTTACCCCAAAGAATAAACTGCCATGGCTGTTCCAAGTATTGCACATTTTCCATGGCACTGAATATAAAACAGTAACAGCAAATAAAATCCAATACAATGGCCGCAAACTTGAACTGAACTTTTCCAATTAACATTTTAAAAAAATCAACGTAACCTGTAAAATATATCCATTGCATGGATATGTTTATCCACAGAAAAATCATACATTCCCACACACTTTTGTTTTTACAATCGAGCTGCATCTGTGAGCATTCCTCACATTTTATATTACTTCAATCAATGAATGAGAGGTACATTGATCTGATTTAGTGTGGCAATCCCCTAGCCTTATTAGCTAATTAACAGAAAGTTTTATTTTCATTTCAGTGTGGAATACTGGATTATCAGGATTTTAAAAGCAAATAAACATAGAAACTGTCACTCTGGATCTGTTTTTGTATATAATCAGTGACAAATCTCAAGCTACGAATTTAAAATGCAATGAAAGTGTATTGTTAATTTGGATTAATCAAAATATTGGGGGAAAAACCAGCTGCCTTCTAAGTCTTGTTTTTCCTTCTCCCTATTCTTTTGATCCATCTGTGATACCACCTGTCAGAATCAGGTCTCCAAATGGTGACCCTCTCAACCACCCTTCTGGACAAAGTCCATAATACTAAATGATAGGGAGCTGAGACTTAATAGTTGATTGAATGTAAGCAGCCCACAGCCATTAACCGACTGCCATTTCTAAAGGAATGCCTCTCATTAATAAGTAAACTGCTTCCTTAACCATTAATACTTCAAAATTTGCAAAACCAATCCTGTTTTCTCTTTCTGAAACTTGCAAAACCAACCCCATTTTCTCTTTCTGAAATGTTCTAAACCTCTTTGACAGTATTTCAGGGCATTTATCAAAGATCCTCTTTTCCTCTACTTGCACGGTTGCTGTCCTTAACGGTTCCAGGTTTCACACCTGTGTCTTTTTTCTTGGAGGGTTTTTCAGACTTCAGTTTATTTTTTTCTTTTCCTCCGCCTCCTTTACCAGGGTAGACTTGACCTTCCAAAGTGACATCTTCACATCTCTCTTGATTTACCAGAAAGTCTTTGACCTCCCACGCGTAGCTTCCGTCACGCAGCATAAAAATGGCACGGTTTGAACCGACAATGAACCTGGATTTCAGAAGATATTCGGTTAGTCTTTGCTAAATTCCTACATTTCAGGAAACAGAAATCCAGAAATAAGATTATGTGCTACCTATAGCTACTATGTGAGAGTTGGGCGGTCATATAAATATGATTAATAAATACATCCACAATCTGGATAGATGTTCAAGGATTAAATGCATTTTAAAAAGTAAATGGTGCTCAAACTGGGATTTATTATAGTAAACAATAGTTTTATTACATTTTAAGACTTTTTCCACTGGTTTAAATGGAGCCTTATATACAAGTTGGAATGAGAGAGAGAGGAAGCTCTAAGATTTGAGTGTGATGACATAAAAGCTACTACTCCATACACACACACACACACACATCCCATGGTGCTTCAAAATAAAATACTAAACATCTGTATCAAACCTGTGTGGAAGTAATATTGTCTGAATAACCTAAAACAGATCTATGGCAAAATTGGATTAGTGTTTAAAGGGCATTTTTTTTGCCAGAAACTGTCCAAAAAAACATTGTAAATCATGATCACATGACCATGGAACATTGCAACCAGCAGTAAAGATGAGCCATGTTTAAAATGGGACACAGGGAATCACTGCTGTAACTGGGAGAATGCTACCTATTTTGATTTGTTTTTTTCTCCAGCGAAAAGAAATCCACAGGGCGGGGGAAGAATCACATAACTCTAAAGGCTTTTACCTCTGTACATCGTAATTGGCATTGAAAAGGCTTCCTTGCCACAGGTTTGTAACTTCCTCCGTCTCCTTCTCCGTTGGCTCTCCGGACACAGTGACGAACATCATGAGAGTTTTCCCCTTTTTGGTCATTTTCAAGAGGCTCTCAGGCTTGCCTGGATCGATCTTGGAGAAGTCGATTGGTGCAGACTGGCGCTTGTGCTCAGGAAGATCTCCTTCCTCTATATCATCATCCTCCTGTTTTTGAAACAAAACAGGAACCTTGAAAAAGACTTTGAAAAGAAAAGCCTTCACCATCTCCAAGGGATATAAGTGGATCCCTGAAAAATAGAACCACTTATTCATTCCTTTTGCATCCTTTACAACTCAATTTGCTAGTCAACTAAATCATCATCTTCATTAACGACCCCATAATCCATTGCGGGGTGGAGTCTGGGCAACTGAATGGAGCTAGTAGAGTGTTTTAATGGCCAGATGCCCTTCCTGTCACCAATGCGGAGTTTCGTTAGTCAACTAAATCACCCTTGCAAAACCAACAAAACAATCATGAGGATTATATTGCACCATATTCCAGCTTTCCCCAATTTCCCTTCAAATGTACAGGGTCATAACTACCCATAGCATCAGCCAACCAGAGATAAGAGTTTAACCCAGCAGAGATTTGGAAAAGCTATCCTGTTCTAAAATATTCTAATTCTCTTATTTCTAATTTTTTAAGCATTGGAGGGACAGACAAACGGGTTCAAAAGAGGTTAATGCTTGAAATTGACTTTCATATTTTATTTTGATCTCTATAGCCACCCATCTCAACAAGCAACTTCGTTGTTTGTCGGCTGTGTGCCACCCAGAGGCACACATGCCAAGATGGGCAAAGAGAATAAATGCATAAAATGCATGCCCTTATTGAATGCGCTTCCCATTTTCAGACCGCCCACATTTCTCCCCCGCTCAGTGAAGGAGGACCTGAAGATTGATGGGTTGCAAAGTGACCACGATGGCCAGATCCACCCAACACCCAGGATAGCTTAGCAGCACCCGGGGGTGAAATAGTGCCATAACAGATAATCAGAGTTGGAAGGGACCTTGTAGGTCATCTAGTCCAACCCCCCTGCCCAAGCAGGAGCCCTACACCATTTCTGACAAATGGCAGTCTAATCTCTTTTTGAAAGTCTCAAGTGATGACGCTCCCACAACTTGTTCCATTGGTTGATTGTTCTCACTGTCAGAAAATTTCTCCTTATTTCCAGATCGAATCTCTCCTTGTTCAGTTTCCATCCATTATTCCTTGTCTGGCCTATAGGCGCTTTAGAAAATAGCTTGACCCCTACCTCCTCTCTGAGGCAGCCCCTCAAATATTGGAAGACTGCTATCCTGTCTCCCCTGGTCCTTCTCTTCCCTAGACTAGCCAAGCCCAGTTCCTGCAACCGTTCTTCATATGTTTTAGTCTCCAGTCCCCTAATCATCCTGGTTGCTCTCCTCTGCACTCTTTCTAGAGTCTCAACATCTTCTTTTTATAGTGTGGTGAACAAAACTGCCGCACCAGCCTTGATGAGATCCAGGTTTTTAAATTATTTTTTTTAGTTTGGGCTTACCACACTGGCTGAAATGACCTTTGCAAATCATGGTCTAAGGATACACACGTTATCTGCATTAGCCAATGGTGGCTTATTGCACTAGCTAGGATTGCGGGTGCTTGGTGGAACCAAGGGAAGCCAAACCTCGCTCCTGAGAGGGCAGGAAAGGGGGAAAGAGGGCAGTGGGGGCTTCTAAGAAGTTTCCTCCCCCTCCTCCTCCTCTTCGCCTATACCTCCCATTGCTCCAACAGCCGCGCCATGTCGGCATCGTTGTAGTCCCGAATGTCTTTCTTCTTCTTCCCCGGCTTGTTGGAGCTCTTCTTCGGCTCCTCCGCAGCCGCCAAGCAGGCGCAGAGAACCACCAGCAGGCCCAGCCACCAGTAGGCCGACGCCATCTTCTCCCGCCCACCTCGGAAGCAGAGTCGGAAGTCAAAGATTCGCCCGCCCGCCTGGCGGGGAGACCTCTGCGCAGGCGCACCAGGCCTGAAAGGAGGAAAAATCGGGAGGCGCTGGGCGCGACAAGCACTTTTTTAAGCAAGGAGCTTTACAAGTGAGGCAGAAGAAAGGGGGCGCGGGCTGTACTACTTTGGATTCTAAAGGGGGGGGGGTATTGTAAACGTGCTTGTTTGATTCCTCTCGTTTTCTTCTCTTTAAAAAAGCCAGCAGAAATTCCGTGTTCGTTACATGAGATAATCCTAGACAAGCGTCCCAATCCAAACTGTAATCTTGTATAAACTTCCTTTGGAGAAAGCTCCATAACATGCAGGTGATTTACTTCTGAATCTAAATTCTGAATCTGGAAGTGCCAAACAAGGGATGAAGTCTGCTATTTTCTTGTAAACACAATCTTTATATTACAGTATCAGGAAGTTGCTTCGCTACACACTAGCCATTGCAAATGTTTGTTTTCTTTTAATTGGTCTTTCTCTTAATTGACTTCCAAGTAGTTTGCAACACACTGTAGCCTTTTCTGGACTTTTTAGACTGTCTACTATTGACCTCACCCCTTTCCTAAGAGGTCTCTAGGGGGCGTGCATAAGCGCACCAACGTGCCTACCATCCCAGTCCTATTGTTTCTTTTATTTTTCTTATATGTACCCATTTCATGTATTCAAGACTATGTATACACTTATACTTATTATCTTGTAAACAATTGACAAATTAAATAAATAAAATAAAATAAATAAATAAATGGAAAACCCTTGAGAACCACTATTGTGTACAGGTATTTCTGGACTTATAACAGGTTGTTTAATGACTGTTCAAAGTTATAATAGCAGTGACTTATTGCCGTTTTTCACTGTTTGTAGCATTTCCCATGGTCATTTTATCAAACTTTAGACACTTGGCAACTGGCATGCATTTATAATGTTTGCAGTGTCCCGAGGTCAAATTTTTGCGACCTTCTAACGAGTAAAGTCAATGGGGAAGCCAGATTCACTTAATAACTGTGTTATGAACTGCAGTGACTTACTTAATAACTGTGTTGTATTTCAAGGGAAAGAGAGGCTTAGACCAGGGCATGCAATTAACACGTTTATTGAAGGAACAGTGGTTGTCGCGTCTGCCAGCCAACGGGCAGACTAGCTTGCGAACAACGGCTGGCTTGGCTTGACAGCCGGCTTTTTATAGTCGGCTGTCAAACGACGCCAGCCAATAGGAACGGTTGTTGAACTTGCTTAACGAGTGGACCCGGTTGGAGCCCCAACCGGTTCCCAAGACATAACAAACTGTATCAAGAAAGGTCATAAAATAGAAATTTACTTAACAAATGTATTACTTTGCAATGGAAGTTTTGGGCTCCTTTGTGATCATAAGCCAAAGACTACCTGTACAACAGAACCTCGTATTAAGATTGATGTAAGACTGATAGAACTACAATTTGCTGGTTGGCACAATAGAAAATATCCTTGATAAGAAGTGAATCCAACCAGTTAAGCACAATGTGTAAGAATATGCGCAATTACATTTCCTGTGTTAGATTTACAGATGGGAACATTATATTTTCCCATCTGGCACGAAGCTGAAAGCACCAGCCTGAGGATGGCGTGTGGGACCTCACCGAAATGTGACCAAGATATTCTTAATCTTACAGGGGAAAAGACCCGAACACACCAAGACCAGGATAGGATGGTGGATATTTTTCTGTTTGTGCAGAATGCTGTTTTAATGTTGTGTTTTTGGAGGATCTTGCTGATTTTGTCTGTAGTGCCTTTTATATATGGAAGGAGGGCTTTGCCGTTCTCTTGTTCTCTGTCTTGGATTTTAGTTGGGGTTTCTTTTTGGATTAGGTGGGTAATCTTCTTTCTTTGGAATCCATGCCTGCCCCACCACATACATCAGACAAACTAACAGAAGAATAAGTGCACGCATTGAAGAACACAAGAACTCAATCAAAAAAGAAGAACCGACCTCTTCCCTGGTCCAACACCTCAAAGCCACAGGACAGAGAGACACAAGGGACGTGGTGGCTAAGACGCCAAGCTTGTCAATCAGAAAGGTTGGCAGTTCAGCAGTTTGAATCCCTAGCATCACATAATGGAGTGAGCTCCCGTTACTTGTCCCAGCTTCTGCCCAATCTAGCAGTTCGAAAGTAGAAAAATGGGGACCACTTTGGTGGGAAGATAACAGTGTTCTGCACCTTCAGTGTTTAGTTCTGCTGGGCACATGACCATGGAGATGTCTTCGAACAACACTGGCTCTTCAGCTTTGTAATGGAGATGAGCACACACACACACATACACAAACACACATATACATATGACTCTGGATAATTGTCCCATTGACTCTGGACTATGAAGACTAGGAGACTATGAATTCCAGTCCTGCCTTAGGCATGAAAGCCAGCTGGGTGATTTGGGCCAGTCCCTCTCTCTCAGCACAACCCACCTCACAGGGCTGCTGTGAGGGAAAGTAGGAAGAGGAAGGTGTATTGCATATATTTGCCCCCCCTTAAGTGGAATACAAATAAACAGATAAATAATTTATATTTAATAATAGATAATAGTAGCTGGAACAGTAAAGGCCAGAACACACAATTATAGTAGATTAAAGAGTGCTGACTCATATCTGAGGCAATCTACACTATGTTTGGTTGCCATAAGTACAAAGTGGGTGATTTTAAAGAAGAGAGTGGACAACCAAGATTTCCTGCCTAAGCAGGGGTTTGGACTAGAAGACCTCCAAGGTCCCTTCCAAACTCTTGTTATTCTATTCTATTTTATTGTTCCTGTTTTCCCGCCTTATTTTCTTTGTGTTCTATATACTGTTTGATTTACCTCATGATGTTCCTGTGTTCCTGACTATCTTGAATTTATTCTTTCTGGATGATGTTGAATGATAAATATGTGTATATATTTAAAAGACTACCAGTTTTTATTAGTGTCTGTGACTTTTATCTAGACAGAATCAGAATCAGAATTTATTACAGTCATACACCAGAGACCAGAACAAATAAAAACACCCAATAAATATATCATTAAAAATTCTAATATACAATAATAACAGATAAAATCTATGATAAAATCCAGTCTGTCAATTATACATGGTCTAACTATACTAAAATCACAGTCCATAAACTCTGTGGTCCGTAGTCAGTTTATTACTAAAAGGGACAGCTGCTGCTCAATCCTCTGACAGAAGTCCATAAATAATTTATATTCTTATAGATAAACATACTTATTTTAACTAAATATTATATACATATACATATACATATACATACATACATACATACATACATACATACATACATATATATAATTTTGGTTATTCGGGTTTTCTCCCGCGTAAACTTGGAAGTATCTAGGCGACGTTTCGATGAAGTCTCATTCATCATCTTCAGGCTTGTGTCTTCGGCTTTGTGTTTCTCGGAGTAATGTGAGCTTGCAGCTGCTTCTTCCTTTTAACTGCTAGTGGGGGTGTGAGTTGATTGAGGGGGCTTGGCTGTGTTCTGATTGGCTGGGGGTGTGTTCTGCTCTGGTGGGGGCTTGGTTGTGCTCAGGTTAGTCTTAGTTGCTGGGGGATTTGAGCTGGTGAGCTGTGATCCGACCCATACATGAAGCGAACTGACGCCCACCATGAAGATGAGGCACGGAGGGGTTTGAAGTGGGTAGTGATGCAGCTGCGGTACGGCTTCTGGTCCGTGGTCATATCTCATCTTGTGTGGGTGTGAGTCTGCTTTCTACGTGGAAGTGTGGTGGTAGCATCTTGAGTTAGAAAACCAAGGAGTATACGAAATCTCTTGCACCGCCTGCCCCACCACATACATTGGACAAACTAACAGAAGAATAAGTGTACACTTTGAAAAACACAAGAACTCAATCAAAAAAGAAGAACTGACCTCTTCCCTTGTCCAACACCTCAAAGCCACAGGACATGAGATTGACTTTAAAAATACCAGAACTATCACCCAAACTGAACACTTCAACAACAGAATAATCAGAGAAGCCATAGAGATAGAAAAACGCCCACACAGCATGAATAAATGAGATGATACCTCCCGTCTACCAGCCATTTGGAAACCCGCCCTCATTAACAAACGAGTACCTAACATGAAGAATGACACCAGACCCACATGCACGAGGGCCACACAAAATGCTACCACCACACTTCCATGTAGAACGCAGGCTCACACCCACACAGAAGATGAGACACGATCATGGACCAGAAGCCGCACCGCAGCTGCATCACTACCCGCTTCAAACCCTTCCGACCCATACATGAAGCGAACTGATGCCCACCATGAAGATGCGGCACGACCACGAATGCGAAGCCAAACAGCAGGATCACAGCTCACCAGCTCAAATCCCCCAGCAACTAAGACTAACCTGAGCACAACCAAGCCCCCACCTGAACAGAACACACCTCCAGCTAATCAGAACACAGCCAAGCCCCCACCCAATCAAGTCACACCCCCACTAGCAGTTAAAAGGAAGAAGCAGCTGCAAGCTCACATTACTCCAAGAAGCACAAAGCCAAAGACACAAGCCTGAAGATGATGAATGAGACTTCATCGAAACGTCGCCTAGATACTTCCAATTTTACGTGAGAGAAAACCCGAATAACCAAAGATCCACATACAAATACCCGCGAAAACCTCAGAAAACAAATACACACACACACACACACACACACACACACACATATTCATAATCTATGGCAGGTCGTGTTTTAGATGACTTCTTAGCATACTTTTAAAAAAGAGTTTAGCCCAGGGCTAACTATCAGAGTAACAACTGTGGTTGTGTGGTTTTTGTTATTTTTAAATGGGGAACAGGAATTGGAGACTCCCTTTTGGGCCTGTTTTCGTTAACATCAAAGGAGTTCACAACATTTGCGTAGAAATTAAATCGGCTCCCACCCTTCCTGACTTGCATTGTTTATAACCCAATGCCATATGTTGCTCAGCTGTGGCAGAAGCACCGGGTCTATATTTCCTG